ATTACCTTTTGTGTGGAGCCGAAGGTTAAGCCTTAAGGCTTATGAGGATTATATGGGTCTTGAAGTCCACTTCAAGTGCTTTATTGAAAACACTTTCATTTGTGAAACATTTTGTGCTTTTATTAAAATATTAGAAATTATTAGAGATAAGTGAAACCTTTGTCATATTTATCACTAATTTCTTAAGTGATAAATCTTGTGACTATTAAAAGTTAATTTTAATAATTTTCATCAATTTATATGTGAAATAATTTTAGACATATAATTTTTAGTTTTATAAATTATTATTTGCATTGATTTTGAAATAAATAGTGTCAAAACTTTTATTGAAAACATAAAATTGAATTGTACAAAATAAAATTAAAATAGTTCATGTAAAAATTAGTAAAAATGGGAAATAGTTTTGAAAATCATACAAACATAAAAGTACTAACACAAACAACTTCATCCATGTATTGCAATTTAAAACTCACCACTGAATACAGAAATTTATAAATAATAACATTAATCACTTTTAGGTGTTATCTTTGAATAGGTATTTAATGGTAAAGTAATTTTAGTTACAGTTGGTACTAAATTACTCCACTTTGACGGCTGTCCACACAAATGGGCGCTTTTGTGGTGTTTCGTGAGCTCTCGACCCGTGAAATAACATTTGTCGCAATTGTTATAACTACACTTATAAGGCCTAATATTATTATGACGATTAACGTGATCCAGATAATAGCGCTTTTGTATAAAAGTTTTTGCGCAACTGCTGTAATCGCATACAAACACCTTATCCTTGGTGTGCGTTCGCAAGTGTTTATAGAAGTTTTCTTGACGTGAAAAACTTTTGTTACACTTATCGTAGTCACACTTGAACTGCTTGATACTTGTGTGTGTCTGCAGGTGGTGCTCGTATATGTCCCTGGTCTGTGCACTGAAATTACAATTATCCAAAAAACACCGATATTCACTTGGAGTTGAAGCACTGGTAATAAAAACACAAATAGTCATCAATTAACATAAGTATTGTCTGAAGTATTGTTAATATATTTTATGCATACTTTTGTTGTCTGTTGACCACCGACTGACCACTGATATCACCATTAGGTTTGTATTTGGTTTATGGATCTGAAGGTGAGCTTCGAGTTGTGGCCACGAGTTAGCCGTAAACATACAATTGGGTGCAAAACAATACAACTGAACAGCCGGTGCCACACTAGCCGGTGAACTAATTAATTAGAAAAATTATAAATATTAAGTTATATGATTAACTTGTATGACATACCTATCAAATTGTAATTGCATTGAAAACTAGTGTATTAAACTAATTTACATTAAAATACACTATAAGTTAGTTTATAATACACGTTATTTACAATATTGAAGTCAATTTGCTTTTTAAATCAAATTTAGGCCTATTTTATACCAAACAAATCAATAGTATTTTATTGTAAGCAATAGTAACAAAAAGTTAGGCAAGAATATATGCTTAAGTAGTGCCAAGAATTTGATACAGAATTAAATTTTGTATTCAATAAACTAGTAATTAAAATTCTGTATTCAAATAGGCTATGATTTATTAAAATATATTTTTTTTAATTTGTTACAAAATACATGTTTAGTAAAACAATTGTCAAAATTACGATAAACTTAGATGGGCTTAACGGTAATTAAAAACGATTTGTGCCATAACTACAGTAAATTTTAACATATTAAAATAGTAATGAATACTTTGTATTATGGCTATTATTGACTTATAAAAATTAATTAGCCGTATATCACTGTCAATTTATACTGTCAGGTAGAGTACATGATACAGTATAACAAATATTTGTTTGATTTTCAATCACTGCTCATAAGATTAAATGTTATGCCGTAAAAAATATACGAAAAACGATTCATAAAATCGATAATATTATAAATATATTTTCAGTCATTGAATGGCTTATTGTTGCCATAAATTGTTCAAACGGGATGTGAAACTGTTTATATGATTGGCTAAATAGTGACCCCGGAGCGCCTCCTGTGTGCCCACAATTTTGCCGCAATCGGTACATTTGAATAACTCCGGCGATCGGGCAGTTGGCCGGGTAGTCGACGCATTAGTACTGAACGAACTATACCGGTATATATATTGCAAAAAATAATTTTTAATTTCAAAAACTAATTTTGTTGACAAAATACTAACCGTTCACTACTAGAGCGCGAGTGGTTAGAAATGGTTGTCCGCACCGGACTCCTGTGACTCTGGCGATGGTGTCGCTGCACGAGCTCTTGACTAGTAAACGATTGACCGCATCCGGGATAACGGCAATTGTAGGGCACGGGTAGGCCATGTATACGCTTGTTATGCATTACGAAATCAAATTCATTATCAAAATCCAGTCGACAGTCACTGTATTTGCAGCGAAAATGAGTCGCATCTAATGATCGCTCGGAAGGCTCGCCCCTACTATGACTACTACTGGCGGGGGAATGGGATCTATAATCTCTGGGACTGGTATGTCGTGTATTACCAGTCCTGGTATTACCAAATGGGCTGTTTTTATAAACAATAAATTTAGTTAAATTAGTTTAATTAGCAAGCAATTAATTTTCATGCAAATCAACTAACCGTTCACTACTAGTGCGCGAGTGGTTTGATAGGGTTGGCCGCACTCGACCACCATTTGTCTTATGAGTCTCATAATAATGTCGCTTTACTAGTGAT